CTGACATATGTACTGTTCTCCATGATTTTTACCTTTTTCTTATTTAATATTCTGAATAAATGTTGCGATTTAGACTATAGCAAAGTTACCACGTGATAAAAAACGGCCTGTATATGTTTTTAATCAATTCCTTCCACACACTCAAGACAATACACTTCTGTCAGTAGGAGTAGTTTCTGTGATTCTTTTATTTTCGCTACTGTTCAGAATTCGTGAAAGATGTCGTACAACTCTGTCAATGTTTTCTTTTGGTTTTGCACGATTCTAACTTCCTGCTCCTATGCCAACCCTCAATACCTGTCCAGGTATTTTATGCTTGTATTCCTGCATGAATACTTTTCACTGACTTTTATATACTGGGTGTGTTCACACAAACTGAGGTGTATACTTCATAAAAACTAATTAGATTCTGAGTATTGATGAGATTGGGACTATCAGAATCTTCAGGTCTCAGAACATTAAATTTTGAAGTACTATCTCTGTATCGATTTGATTTTGTTGGAGAAATATGAAGGAGAGAAGAATTTTCACAATTTTGTTTTGTGGAAAAATCCAGGCACAAAATATTATTATTGTTTGATCATTCGTAAGTATCGTATTCTCTAATATCATGCACAAAATGACAATTACCAATAATCTCCTCCATAAACACCTCAGTTTGTAACTTGTGCACATCCTGTATCTACTTACTGTTCGAACTCTCTCTCATCTGAAAAGAATCTATTATGTCTCTGCAGATGTTTCATGTTGCTTTATCGCAAATGACTAAGTCTCTTGAATAAGAGTGTATTCAGAATTGTATGGTTTGCTATCGAATTTGCCAAAGACTTCTTTTACAATTGATCTATTCCACAAAAAAATTACTTTCTCTTCCTCTCCTGATTGAGATGAAGATTGATATTGAACACAGCTTCTTTACACTGTCTGTAACAGTGTTAAGCTCTTCCTACCCTAGCTTATAGCTTTTTGTTTCTGTCGTACTTGATTATCATAGCAGTTCCTCAGCTCTGGTTTTATGAAACGAAATATTTCTGCAGCTAAGTCATTATGCTTTGTGGAGGAGCCTGTACATCAGAGGTAGCTCATCAAAAAACTGTGATAACGTTTACGATATGATTCTTCTTCAAGTGACCACTTTTTGTTTTTTCCAACAGTCTCGAATTCGAATATTTACAATATAGTACGAGGTTGTTTCGAAAGTTTTAACCGTTTCAATGTCATGTGTTTTTGAAGCTCCATATCTCAATAAATATTAGTTCCACTCTGTAGTTATGTATACTGATCGATAGAGAATTTCGTACTCTACAGGGTGTTCCTTAAACACATGCTAATATTTAAGGAGGTAATTCTTAGACCCATTTTAAGAAAAAAACTTCCTATGGACGTATGTCCTAAACGCCTTAACTTTTGAGATACAGGGTGGCAAAGTTTTCAAAAATAATTAGTT